TGCGATCTATGTGGTGCGATGCACGTAGTGCGCTTGCAGCGAAATGCCATGCGACTGCAGCGCAACGCAGTGCGATTGCAACGCAACTCGACGACGAGGCGGCGGCGACGGGTGGCGACGAGGCGGCGACGAGGCGGCGACGGGGCGGCGACGGGGCGGCGATTGGGCGACCGCAAGCCGGCCAGCGCGGCACACGAGCCTACGATCAGGCGGCGACGGGCGGTCACGAGCGGCGACGGGGCGGCGACGGGGCAGCAACAAGTCGGCCGGTGCGGCGCGCGAGCCCAGTTCCCTGAACAAGTGGGAGGCTCTGAGTGCAAACGCTGTTCGGGGAATACTTCGTTTGGTAATCGCCTCTCGAAATTTTTCTCCCTCCTGCCCCTCTCCTGCTTCCCCCCCGTGCGAGCGCCTCTCTTCAGGTCGCCAAATGTGCACGTCTCTTCAGCAGCCTTGTCCAGAGCTGTAACTTCTGGGCGCTACGGGCGGCAACGTGGCGAATCGTCGACACGCCCCCCGAGGCAGCGACGGGCGGCGACGAGCGACAACGTGCGGATTCTCGACACATCCCCCGAGGCGCCAATATGGGCTGCAACGTGGCGAATCGTCGGCATACCCCCTGAGGCGGCAACGGGCGGCAACATAGCGAATCGTCGACATGCTTTCCCGAGGCGGCAACGGGCGGCACAGGGCGGCAACGCGGCGAATCGTCGACATATCCCCAGAGGCGGCACCGTGGCGGCAACGAGGCTGCAACGGGCGGCAACGTAGCGAATCGTCGACATAGCCGGCCAGTGCGGCAACGGGCGGCAACGTGGCGAACCGTCGACATACCCCCCGAGGCAGCAACCTGCGGCAATGGGCGGCAACGATGCGAATCCTCGACCGCCCCCCGCAACGGGTGGCAATGGGCGGCAAAGTGGCGAATTCTCGACACATCCCCCGAGGCGGCAACGGGTGGCAGCGGGCGGCAACGATGCGAATATTCGACATATCCCCCGAGGCTGCAGAAGGCGGCGACGTGGCGAATCGTGGGCATGCCCCCTGAGGCGGCAACCGGCGGGAACGTGGCGAACCGTCGACATGGCCCCCCGAGGCGGCAACGGGCGGCAGCGAGGCGGCAACGTTGCGGCAACGTGGCGGATCCGCGACATAGCAGTCACTTCTTCAAAGAGTCAAGGAAGAGCCCCTAAATGCAAGCTCTGTATTGGGAACATCCTGCAACCAATCAAGTGAACACTTAAGCAGTGATGCGAATAGGCGAGCTTGCAAGGGTGCGTACAAGCAAGAGACCAGTCGATCAAAGAGGCAGGGGCGCACTTACCAGTGCAATCGCGCTTGAACGAGCAACTGGTCAAGTAGCAGACAACGTGACGGATAAGCAATGAAATGATGATACATGCAACCCAATTTCATGCAGGCCTGCCAGCGAGCCCGCGCGCGCGGACACGCGAGTAAGCAAGCATGCATGCAAGCAGGTGAGGTGTACGCGGATGAGAACGGCGACGAATGCGATGACGAGGAACACGACGACGAAACCGACGCCGCCCACGACGACGACGACGAACGACAACGAACGACGACGGCGGCGACGACGGCGACGACGGCCACGACGACGACGACGCCGACGACGACTACGACTACGACGACGACGGCGACGACGGCGACGACGGCGGCGACGACGACGACGCCGCCGCCGACGACGACGACGACGACGACGACGATGTCGACGAGGAGGACGCCTCAAAGGCACCCCCCAGAACTGTCATGGAGCGCGTCCCAACCTGGATTCCGATGCGGATCTGGCCTTGTGACGAGGGCCACCCAGGAGGCACCTAAAGAGGGCGAGCCCAGACGCCTCGCTTCTCGGCGCTCGAACTGAACTTCGATCGTCGAAGGTCAACGAAGCTGGCGACGACGACGACGACGACGACAACCTGGCATCGCTCGGACGTGTGCGTTTTTTCCTCGGCGAGGACCATCGAGGAGCATCCTTGACCATTTGCCGAAAAAACCACGCACGAAACCGGAAAAAGCATAGAGAGTGGACGTCCGAGCGATGGCCAGACGACGACGACGACGACGACGACGACGACGACGACGACGACGACGACGGCGGCGGCGGCGGCGGAAGAGGAGGAGGAGGAGGAGGAGGAGGAGGAGGAGGAGGAGGACCAGGAGGAGGAGGAGGAGGAGGAGGAGGAGGAGGAGAGAGGAGGAGGAGGAGGACCAGGAGGAGGAGGAGGCCAGCGGCGAGCGGCGAGCGGCGAGCGGCGAGCGGCGAGCGGCGGCGGGTGGCGGCCGGCGAGCGGCGGGCTCTCGCGGGCAGGGAGGCGGCGGCGGGGCTCGCGGCCGCGATGGCGGGCGCCGTGCTCGGCCTCGTGGGGCTGCGCCGGCGCAGGTCCGCGCGGGGCGGGGGGGGGGGCTGCTGCGGCATCCTTCTTCTCCTCTCCTTCTCCTCCTCCTTCTCCTCCGCCACCCCTCCTGCTGCTCCTCCCCCTCGGCTCCTCCTGCTCGTCCTCTGGCTCCTCCCCCCTCTCCGCTTCCTCTCCCTTCTGTGAGGGTCACCGTCGTCGAGCGGGAGGTCGGGGAGGCGACGAGAGGGGACGAACGTGGCCCAGGGGGTCGGCCGGATGGCGATTGGGGGACCAGGACATGGGGGGATGAGTATCCGGTACCGTTTTGTTGGGGTACGATTTGTACCCTCTCTGCGGGTTGCAAGTACAGATTGTACCTTCTCCCCCACCGTTAACATCCTCGCACATGTCGCGGACGTTGTCAAAAGTACAATTTGTACTTTGTCTGCGTGGCGTCGGTACAAATTGTACCTTCTCCGTGGGGCGTAGGTACAATTTGTACCTCGGTTGCGCCTCTCTCCCCATCTGGGGGCTGCTGCGGCAGGAGGTCGGGGAGGCGACGAGGGGGGGGCGAACGCGGCCCAGGGGCGAGCATGGTAGGCTCTCGTCGGGGAGCCCCGCCGAGCACGTGGAGCTTCGGCGCCCCTGGATACATGCATGCGATCGTGTTCTTATCCGTTGTTTTTCCGATCGGCGTGGGCCCTCGCCCCCCCCCCCCCTCCCCCCCCCGTGGAGTAGATCTTGGCTGCTTTTGGCGCTCGTTTCAGGCAGGTGGAGTCTCCCCCAGAGGACGCACTAGTGCAAAACAGTCGCACGAAACAGAGGTCCAGAGCCAGACCCCCCCCTCTCTCTTTCCCTTCCGCCCAGTGTCAAAACGCCGAATAAGGAAACGTTCAGTATTTCTCCCCCTGGACGATTCGCCCCTAATGTCAGGTTCTGGTTAACAAATGCGTGTACATATATGGATCTAGTCAGGGGCTGCTTGACCTCTGGAACAACAAACGAGTGATGCAAGTTGACGCCTGTAGCAGCCAAACGCTGCCAAAGAGACGCTTTCATTCTGAATGCGAAGCCGCAGAGGAAAACAAACACACCCCTCAGAAGATGTACTGCCTCAAGAAATTGTAGTACTAGACTCAAGTCGAAGTATGCAGCCACCCAACTGGATACATGAGCACGTAAGGGAGCGGCAACGTGGATGGCTACCGCGAAAACAGAAAAGGAAACTGTTAACAAATGCGTGACCCCCCCCCCCCCAGGGACTGATTAATGGACCCCGCAGGGCCTTTATATATACATATATATATATATATATATAAAAATGACTTTTATATATAGGTATATGTATATATTATTTTTTGTGTTTATATATATAGCACAGAAAATAATACTAATACTAAGAATAAACATCACGCACGCCAGAGGGTCGTCGCGGGACCCGCCGACGGGATCATGTACCCCTTGCTTGTCTTTAGTATAGAAGTGGTTGGAGGTTCGTACACATCCGAGGCGATTCCCCCCCCTTCTCAGGCGTCGTCGTCGTCGTCGTCGTCGTCATCGTCATCGTCGTCATCGTCGTCATCGTCTTCGTCGTTGCCGTCGTCGTCGTCGTCGTCGTCGTCGTCGTCGTCGTCGTCGTCGTCGTCGACTACAGCGGGCCTGCGCAGCCCCCCCACCCACCCCATAGGGCATCCGCAAGGCGTCGTCGTCGTCGCCGCTGTCGATGTTGTCGTCGTCGTCGTCGGCGTCGTCGTCTTCGTCGTCGTTGTCATCGTCGTCGTCGTCGTCGGCGTTGTCGTCGTCGTCGTCCATCGTCCGTCGCCGTCGTCGACCTACAGCGAGCCTGCGCAGCCCCCCCCCATAGGGCATCCGTAGTGCGTCGTCGCCGTCGCCGTCACCGCCGTCGTCGTCGTCGTCGTCGTCGTCGTCGTCGTCGTCGTCGTCGTCATCGTCGTCGTCGTCGTCGAGTACAGCGAGCCTGCACAGCACCCCCCCCGCCCCATGGGGCATCCGCAGTGCGTCGTCGTCGTCGTCGCCGTCGCCGTCGCCGTCGTCGTCGTCGTCGTCGTCGTCGTCGTCGTCGTCGTCGTCGTCTTCGTCGTCGTCGTCGTCGTCGTCGACCTACAGCGAGCTTGCGCAGCACCCACCCCATAGGGCATCCGCAGTGCGTCGTCGTCGTCGTCGCCGCCGTCGCCATCCGCCGTCCGTCGTGCTCCTCGTGCTCGTCCTCGTCCTCGTCCTTGTTGCCGTCGCCCTCGTCCTCGTTCTCGTTTTCGTCCTCGTCTTCGTCGTCGTCGTCGTCGCCGACTGCAGAGACCACGACAGGGGGGGAGGAGGACTGCCCGCCCCTTGCTCGGGTCGGACGAAAGGCTGGGGAAGGAAAGGGGGGGTTGCGAAACCTGCTGCGCGCAGCTGGTTTCGGTCGCCCCGCCGAGGGGCCAGTCCTCGATGCATGGCCGCTTTCGGCGCCAGGGGGCGCTTTCAAACTCAGCGATGTGAGCTGCTGGGCAAATCCCTGCATGGCCACGCCCGCCTTTCGCCTAGCCCGCTGGCACCCCCCTGGCTGCGGCCAGGGCAAGGGACGCGCATCGGTTCGACAAAGCACGGAAAGCGTGGGGGCGAGCGCCGACAGTAGCTCTTCTTCATTTCGAGCACGTGTCGCCCTGGCTCACGGTCCCTGCCCCTGCCGCCTTTGCCTCCCGCCCCCCTCCCCTCACCCAGTCTGTGCTGTCTGTCGCCTTCTCGCTGGCGGCTGGGTTTCGGCGCCAATCACCAGCGCCGCCGCCGTTGACTTTCAATCCGGCGGGCGCCATCCCGCGACTCGCCCGAGCAGGGCAACTATCTGTTTAAACGCGCGCCCCCACGGATGTGTTAACTACAAGCTGACATGCCCGTCGCTTCCGAGAGGTCGTCGGGGAGCGGGCAGGCAGGCAGGCCCCTTGCTGCCCGAGCGGCCGTGCCCCCCCCCCCCCCCCCTTTGAGAGGGGGACCGCCAGCTCCCCCGCCAGAGTCTGTGGCGCAGCCACCGGTGGATGGGGATATCTTCCCGCCCGCGTGGGCGGGCACGTATCCATATCCACCGCTCCCCGGGTCCCCGGTACGCGATCTCGCGGCAGCGCATTGGGGGCATGTCGTGGCGGCGCGCTACTGGGAAGAGAGAGAGAGGGGGGTCACCTGAACGGGTTGAACCGTGGCCATCTTTGGAGGCATCTGGGAGCCTCTTGGGGTCCTCTTGGAACCCTCTTGAAGCCAACTTGGGAGCCTGAACGGTCGTTTCGGGGCCCTTTTGGATGCCATTCGTCAGAACGGGTTGGTCCCAATCATGGCCCTCCTTTGGGAACCAGAAAGGCATCCTTTTTGAGCACGCTTGGAGCGCTTTCGTGCTCTTGGGGTCCTTCGGGGTCCTTCCGGGGCTCCTCTGGGCCCCGTTCGAGGCCCGTTAGAGCAGTGTTTGGGTCATCTGGCTATCTCAGGAGACAGTCGGAGGCGAAAAGGGGAGAAGGCGGCACGCACAAAAGAAAATCAGGCTTTCCCCAGACAGCGGTTGAACAACTACACATTGTTGATTTCTAAGTATTCGAAAGCTCTTTGATTTTTTGGGGGGCCAAGATCCTTTCTTCTCTACTTGTCCTATCCTGGGCCTCTTCTTGGCCACCTGGGGGGCCAGGAACAGTTAGAAACGAGCACACTTAGAAATGAACACGATTAGAACTGAACGACGTGTAGGCTTAAGTCGTGCCTGTCCCTCTACATGGGAATATTCAAACATAGTCAAAGAATAATCTGGGGACGATTATTTGAGTATTTTTGGGCATCTTTTGCATATGTTTTGATTTTTTTCGTCCACAATCCCCCTGTATGGGGGACAGGCTCGACTGAAGTGTAGGCTGTTTCTTGGCGGTTCAGTGCTTGGATTGGCTCCCCGTCCTCCTCCTCCTCCTCCTCCTCCTCCTCCTCCTCGTCCTCCTCCTCCTCCTTTCTTGGCTGGGTGCGCCCCCTGGGCGCCTCGTGGGCGCCCCGCTCCTCGCGCTCCGGCACCTCCCGTCTCGCTCGGGGGGAGGGGGCCCTGCCCTGACCTTCCAGGAGGGCTAAAAAATAGCACCAGGACGTCGACGCCCTAACTCCTGTCGAGGTGTGAGGCAGTCCAGATAGATCTATAGGTCTGGAGTGTTTTTTTTAAGCACTCTGGAAGGTCAGGGTGGGCGCCCCAGGGTTGCCCACGTGGCAGCCGCACTGCACAGCTCTCGCGCGTGGTGGAAGGGCCGCCGCTCGGCTGGGCCAGCAGGGGCCGACCTGGTGGGCGGATGCGCGGGGGAAGGAGCAGGGCTGGGCCTCAACGGTGCTTTTTTTCGTTTGGGCGGTCTCGTGGGCCGTTTTCGCTCCGACTTCGTTCTGCGGCAGAGGCGGATTGGAGGCAAAAAACGCGGGAAGGCGAAGACAACACGAGAACGGAAAACACCGGTTAGGTTCAGCCCCGAGAAGGAGCAGGGGAAACACGGGGAGGATAAAGGGAGGCAAGGGGAGGCGGAGGAAGATGGCATGAATCCCAGGGAGGAAGGGGAGGAGGAGGAGGAGGAGGAGGAGGAGGAGGAGGAGGAGGAGGAGGAGGAGGAGGAGGGCGACCACGACGACGGCGACGACGACGACGAAAACTACGAAGATGACGACGGCGGCGGCGGCCCGGGCGACGCAGACGACGACGGCGGCTGGGGGGCGACGGGGGCAGGACCTCGGAGCGCGTCAAGGGCGAGCTGCGGAAGTGGGAGGGCGCTGACCTGAAGCTCCTGGCCCCTCGCCCAGGAGGAAAGGCAAAGGGGAGGAGGAGGAGGAGGAGGAGGAGGAGGAGGAGGAGGAGGAGGAGGAGGAGGAGGAGGGCGACCACGACGAGGAAAGGAGGAAGAGGAGGAGGAAAGGAGGAGGAGGGAGGAGGAGGAGGAGGAGGAGGAGGAGGAGGAGGAGGAGGGGGAGGGTATTATGTTGCAGGCCCAAAAGGCAGAACAAAAACCGTGGCGCTCAGCAAAGCGCGGGCCAACGTGCCCTGGCCAACGGCCAAAGTGGCCAACGGCCAACACCAAGGGCACACGCGCAAAAAGAGGGGATCACGGACACAAGCTGGGACCTGACCTCCGGCCTCCTTTCCTTGACTAACTCCCAATAGCGCCAGAAACGCTGTGCCTTAGGGAGGAAATCAAGGAAAAGAAAGCAAACCAAGGACCGCCCTACACCCCGCGCCAAAATGGCGCACGGGGGTTCGGGATCGGCGCCCAAGGGACAATACACGGAGCGTTGCCCAGCGCCCGCACCCTCACAAGCACGGCAACAGTGTGCCCGCGGCAAAGAGCACTGCAACCAAGAGGTTGCAGGCGGGAAGCCGCGGGCCCCGCCTCCGTGATCCTCAACGGCGGTACACCTCAGACCAGGAGGTGCCACTGGGGTCTCCCCGCGCCCAGGCCGCACCTCTTGGCCGAGGTGGCAGGGCACTAAAAACCCTGGCCTGACGGCTGCAACGGCGACAGCGGCGGCAGCAGGGCGGGGAAGGGGAAGGGCCACTCTCCGGCCCAGGAGCGCAAACAACGTCCACCCTGGAACTTAATCCAGGGCCGTGTCGCAACTCCCAAAGGAAAGGGGCGACGGACACGACGACGAAACGAGACACGAAGGACGACAACGAACGACCACGAACCTCCCAGAGGGAAGTGCCGCCCTCCGCCCGTTCCTTATCGCACCCGCGAGCGGGCGGGATAAGGAGCGTGACATCATCGGACCCACACCGCATTCAGGCGGTGCCACACGGAGCCCAGGCTGCACCGCCTATCCGCGGTGGCGAGGCGTTTGAAAATTGCCTCGGCCTGACGGCAGGAGGAGGAGGAGGAGGAGGAGGAGGAGGAGGAGGACAGCCGGGCCGTGGCGGTGCGAGCGTGCCGCGAGGGAGCGATCGTGCTGCGTGGGGCGGCTGAGCTCGGCTCGGTCTGCCTGTGGTCCGGTCTGCTGGGGGCCTCGGCGGGGGGTCAGGAGCCCTAGGCCTGCGCTCCCTCCCTGCGGCCTCCTGCTCTCCCGCTCCCTTGGGCGGGGTGTTCGCGCGGGCGGGGGTCTCTCCTCGGTGTGCTGGGGGCCCTCGCTGCCGCCCTTGCTGCACATATAAGTCGTTGCTCGTGGCAGGCGGCGCTCTCTGAGCTCAGATGTCTTCTGGCTTTGTGTGTCAGTGGGGAGGAGGAGGAGGAGGAGAAGGAGGAAAAGGAGGAGGAGGAGGAGGAGGGAGGAGGAGGAGAGGGAAAAGGAGGAGGAGGAGGAGGAGGAGGAGCAGCAGCAACGCCCCATGTGCAGCAGGAAGGGGAGGGGGGGTAGTGAGGAGGTAGAGGGGGCGGAGGAGGACAAATCGAATGGTGATGACGAGTAAGAGGAGGATGAGGATGAACAAGAGGAGGAGGAGGAGGAGGAGGAGGAGGAGGAGGAGGAGGATGAGGAGGAGGAGGAAGAGGAGGAGGAGGAGGAGGAGGAGGAGAGGGACGAGGAGGAGAATGAGGAGCTGCGGAAGTCGGAAGAAGAGGACGATGAGGACGATGAGGCATAATCTCAGGATGATGATGCTGATGCTGATGCTGATGCTGAGGATGATGGTGCTGATGATGCTTTTGATGATGATGCTAAAGCTGGCGATGATGCGAATGCTGATGATACTGCTGATGATGACGATGAAAATGACGATGATGCTGATGATGCTGATTATGTTGACGATGATGCTGCTGATCTTGGTGATGATGATGCTGATGATGGTGATTATGATGATGGCGATGATGCTGATTATGATAATGAGGATGATGATGATGCTGCTGATTCCGACGATGATGATCATGATGATGATGATGCTGATGATGATGATGATGCTGCTGCTGATGATGATGATGATGATGATGATGATGCTGAGGAGGAGGATGATGCTGATGATGATGATGGTGGTGATGGTGTTGGTGGTGGTGGTGGATGTGATGATGATGATGATGATGATGATGCTGATGATGATGCTGATGATGATGATGACGATGATGATGATGATGATGATGATGATGATGATGGTTATGATGCTGCTGATGGACAGTAATAATCATAATCTCAATGCGAATAGTACTACGAATATTAAGAGGAGCAGGAGGAGGAGGAGGAGGAGGAGGAGGAGGAGGAGGAGGCCACCTCCGTCCTCCATTCTCCTCCCCCCTCCTCCTCCGTAGCCAGCTTAGCTCAAGATGCTTTCTTGGGCGCGCCTAGACGTGGACACCGCTGGTCAACGGCAGTCTTTCAGCTCTCAATCCCTGCTCACCTCAGTTGCCCTCCAGGTGGTCTTTCGTATCATCCAGATGGACCCGGCGTCGCTAGTCCTCCCCTCCTTCGCGTGGGAATGCTCTCTCGCCCATGTGCAGGCGCCGTCATGGCAGCCTCAGCTCGTCCACTCGCCCACGCTGCGCAGCAGCACCGCCCCGACGTCCGACGAGGAGGCCCACCTGGCAGCTGCTCGGCCGGATCTCGGGGTCGAGGCGCTGGCCGCAGCGGTGGAGCCATGGGGGCACGACGCCGCCCACGACCCCATCATGATCAGCCAGGAGGGGAGGAAACACACAGACACAATTCATCGTCGATGCCCAGGAAAATAAGGGAAACTATGGGAAGGGGGGGGAAGACAAAAAACCACGAAAATATGGGAACATATGGGGAGTCCGGTTATTTGTGTGCATTTACTTGCTTGTCCCAGGGCCCCTTTGATCAGCCCGCCCGGCGTCGAGGCAGTGGAGCTGGTCCGTCGGCAGGCCGTCAGCCAGACCTCCTTCAAGCGGCCGGCCCACAGAGAGGCCAGCCTCGACGGAGCGGAGTCCCGGAGGTCGCCGTCGTGTAGAAGAGGCGTCCCGAACCGGCCGCGTCAGGCAGAACGGGTGGTGCATCGCAGTGGCGCTGTTCTTTACCGCTCTTTCCCCGATCGGCGCGGGCTCCCGCCCCCCTCCCCCTCCCCCTTCCTCCACAGACCAGATTTCTCGGCTGCCTTCAACGGCTGCTGTCTGCGACTGGTCCTCCCGAGCGTGGCTGCAGTCTTGCAGTTCGCAGCCCCCCAGGGGTGGCGAGGTCGAATCTCGGCCTGCGTAAGGCATCACTCCGCTGGGCCCCCCATTAGCCCTCGAACGCGGGAGTCACAACTAGGTCCAAAACACAGAAGGCCTGAGGGGCGTGCACCTCAAGCCCAGAAGCTAAGAGGGCCCGAAAACCCGGGAGCCCAACTAGCCCTTAGGAACGGATTCTGAGGTGCACATCTTCATCAGGCATGCAACCCTCACGACTCGATGCAACTAATCCGCTTTTCTGCACGCCCCGCTCTGAACCCTCGAGGAACCTCGAACCCATTCACGATTCTATGCCGCCCTGCGCGGGGTCCCCAGATGCCTCCTGAACTTAAGGCCATTCTACCTGCAGAAGTGGTCTGCCCGTGTTTCTGGGGGAAGGCGGCTCCGCAGGCCCAGGCGTGGCCGCTCTGGGCTGCTCCTCAGCTGCTTCCCAGACGTGGTTGCCTCAGCGGAGTGTGGAATCAGCATCGCCATCATCATCATCATCATCCTCATCATCATCATCATCATCATCATCATCAGCATCATCTTTTATCATTATCATTATCATTTTTAATATCATTATCATTATCATTATCATTATCATTATCATTATCATTATCATTATCATTATCATTACCATTATCATTATCATTATCATTATCATTATCATGATAATTCTCATTATCATTATCATTGTCATCATCAGGATCATCATTGCCATCATCATCACCACCATCACCACCAGCATCATCATCATCATCATCATCTTCATCATCATCATCACCATCATCAGCAGCATCATCATCACTATGATCATCCACATTGCCATCATTATCATTAGCATCATCAGCAGCATCAACAGCAAACACATCATCATCATCAACAGTATCGTTATCATTAGTATCTTCATCATTACCCTCAGCAGCATTATCATGATGATAATCGTCATCATCATCATCATCATCATCCTGGGGAAGGAGAGTAGTACGCCGTCGTCGTCGTCGTCGTCGTGCTTGTCGTTGTGGACGTCGGCGTCTTGGACATTGACGATGTGACGATCTCATCTTCAGTGGGGGGAGGGGGGTAACACGTTGACGTGTTCGTCGTCGTCGTGGTCGCCGCGGTTGTCGTCGTCGTCGTCGACGACGCTTTGGACGTTGACGACGCGACGACGCCGGTGAATCCAAGACGACCGTTAATGACACCAAGACGGCTCGTGGTGGACCCAAGACGGCCCGGGATGGCCCACACGCACTGAAGGATGGCCCAGTAAGCTTATGGTAGACCCAATATAGTTTCTCACAGAAACACGGTGGCGATTGGCGGAAGCCGGTGTGCCATTTCAGTGAAGCAGCGCGCACAATCAGGATCGAACAAATCAAGCAAGGCCGCAGCCAGTCAGATCAGCAAATTTGCAAACATAATAGCATGTCAGGCGACGTCAAACAAATTTATGTCAACTCTCTGGTCGTCGACGTAATCGTCGTCGTCGTTATCGTCGTCGACGTCGTTATGCACACCCCCGATCTAAACCTTTCACGATGGAATGCTGTGCCGCTGACGAGTCTCTGCGACAGAAACACTACGTGGTGCAGATCTGCTGATCTCAGCACCGCCTTCTCAAGCCTTCAACCTTCACGATCCGATGCAAATGGTATGCTTTTCTGCACACCCCGACCGAAGCCCTTCACCATGAAAATCTGTGCCGCTCACGAGGCTCTGCAACAACTATGTAGTGCAGATCTGCTGATCTCAGCATCGCCTTCTCAAGCCTTCAGCCTCAAAATCCGATGCAAATCATATGCTCTTCTGCACACCCCGGACGAAGCCTCTCACGACGAGCATCCGTGCCGCTCACGAGTCTCTGCAACAGAAACGCTCTGAGGTGCAGATCTGCTGATCTCAGCTTCGCCTTCTCAAGCCTTCAATCTTCACGATCCGATGCAAATGGTATGCTTTTCTGCACACCCCGATCGGGGCCTAACACACAGAGGTTCCCCCCCGATCCCTGTCCGGCGCAAAGCTTAAAGGGGGGGAGGCGGGGGGCCCCCCTCTCCGTCGGAAACGGGGGGGGGTCCGAAACCCCCACCCCCTCCCTTTCAAAAGGAGACGGGTGTCCAAAAATCCCTCCCTCCTTGAATAGGGGGGTGTTTCGCGAGCATTTCCTTTCTTTTTCCCCACCCGACAGGTTGAGGTTGTTAGATTGCAAGAACAGCCCCGCGGCCAGCCCCACCCTGCATTCTGCAGCCGCCAGATCCCAAGTTGTCCCGGTGGTCCTCGAGAGTCCAGGGTGTATCGCCTCGCGCCTGGCCAACCCCACCCTGCATACCGCGGCCGCCAGACCCCGAGCTGTTCCGATGATCCCCGAGAGTCCGCGGTGTCCCGCCTCGCGCCCTCGACGAACACGACAGAACACAACATGACAGAACAGAACATGACAGAACCGAACAAGGCATGACAGACCATGACATAACATAAGATATGGATACCATGACAACGTATAACATAACATAACATACCATCACATAACATACCACAGCAGAGCATGACAAACCACAATACTGCATACCATACCAAAACATCACATAGCTCCGCATACCATACCACACCTTGACATGACATATCGTACCAGGACACAGCATCACATACCATTTCATAACACGACAACAGGGGATAGAGAGGACGGGCACTACATAACATAACATGGCATACCATAACCTGACAGAACATAGCACGACAATGGCATAACAGGACAGGACATACCATAGCAATGTCATGATGAACTGGAGCATAACAGAACATCACACAACACACCATGGCAGAACACGACAGAGCAGTCGACAACATAACACACCATCACATACCATCGCCGAGCATAACATAACACACCTTGAGAGAACATATCGTATCGTGCCAGAGCATCACATCACTTTCCATAGCACGACAACAGAGCATAGCGACGACAAACATGATAGAACGCACTATGACACAACATAACACGACAGAATAGACCACGAACGTGACATAACATGGCAGACCATAACATTGCAATGTCATGACAACATATATCATAACATAACACCAATAACATACCATAGCAGAGCATGACACAGCAGAAGACGACACAACACAACATAACACACCATAGCCGAGCATAACACACTACACCTTGGCATACCATATCAGATGATGACACAGCATCGTAGCCCAGCAGAGCATAACAGATCAGCAGAGCATAACACAACATAACCGAACATATCATATCATAACACGACAGCAGAGCATCGCGACATGTCCTCGCAACACATATCATAATATGTTTTACAGAGCCGAGCCGTCAACATACAGACAATCACACAACATACCAGAGTATAGCATGACAGAGCAGACGACGGCAGAACACAACATGACGTACCATAGCTGAGCATGACATCACTTTCCGTGGCAGTGCAGATCAGACCATTTCATGACAGCTTCACACATATATCAGATCACATCAGGTCAGATCAGACCATATCGTAACAAGACAGCAGAGCAAAGCGAACCATACTAGCAGAGTCTATCATAATACGCCACACTGAGCCGAGCTGTTAACAGCACTAAGGAACATATCAGACCACAGTATAACCTGACATGCCATATCATGTCATCACATAGTGTCACAGAGCAAATCATACCATAACGTCTCAAAGCATCTGGTGACAGAGATGAGCATCACATAACATAGTCAATCAGAAGAGAGACATCTAAGTTAAGAGGAGCATTGCAACAGACGACGCATCAACGTCACAGGCGTCACGACTCCACACCGGCCCGTCGAGAACATAACACGACACAATAGAACAGAACACGAAAGAACTTGACTACAAGGAACACGGTTGAACAGTTTGTGAATCCAGAAACGGCAGTTTTGCAGTGGTGGGAGGAGGAGGAAGATGAACAGTAGGGAGTAGGGAGGAGAGGTCCGCCTCATCTCCCTCCTCTTCCTCCTCCTTTGTCGTCCGCCGCCTCCTCCTCCTGCTCCTCCTGCGGATGCTCCTCCTCTTGTTCTTTCGACCGGCTGCGGCTTTCTATCCGTTTCGCTCGGGGTTTCTGTCAATTTCTTTCGTCAGGAGCTCTGGGGCTGTTCCGGGCATTTTCTTCGGGTGGAGGGCAGAGGGTGAAAGCTGAAATGCCGTTTCGACGCTTCGGTGGGTTCCCGAGGGAACCTGCCAAAGGTGAGTCACAAGACGGATCCATTTTCGAGGTGCGCAGGCCCATCTGGATTTCACCCTGCGCCCTCCACCCTGAGAGAGTGCTCAGTTGTTGGATTTTTGGAGGCAGCGGAGTTCGCCACCCTGCCCGGCCCCGCCGCACGTGGCCGAGACCACATGGCCCCGCCAGCGGGCCGCGCTCCACACGCGTTGGGCGACCGCGCGCCGTCGGGAAACAAACGCTTCAGGTTTCGGTGGGGATCGCTCGAAGCAGCATACATTGGAGGTCGCTTGGGGGGCAGCGTTGTTTCCAAGGCCAGATCCCAATACGCTCAGCGAGCGCGCCTGATCCGTCAATAACAATCCTTACGACACCCAGTCGCGACAAGTTCGGACCTTTAGGTTTGCTCTTGCCGACGATTGGGCTGCTTAGGTGTGCTCTTACCCTACGAGCATCGCCTCCTCCTCCGTCGCCCCAGAAACACAGCTCGCATTCGCTGCCCCTCAGCGAGCTGAAAAGCATGCAGTCAAGTTCGGGGGCACCTGCCAGCGCTCCTTCCTCGCCCGGCTCCAGACCCCGTATTGGGCCCCAGCGTCGTTGAAGTATGTCTTGGCCTCCTCTGGGGAAGTCCAGGTCCCTTCTCCCAGGGTTCCAGGGAGCATCGCGCTTGAGTGAGACGCGCTTTGTCCAAGTCTGCTTCCTTCAGCACCCACTCCCGCGCATCCCCCACGCCGATAGCCCTCGGATTTCGCGCTCAACGCTTTGAGTTGCGCGCCATGTAATCAGCGCGGGCCCTCCTCTTTCTCTTATAGTCGGTCCGCATAGTAAGGATGGGCAACCTTCCAAAGGGTACCCTTGCATCCCTGCCTCATCGGCCCATCCTTGGCCGCTTACGCTGGCCGCGTCCCGCCCGCAAAGTGCCGACATGGCCTTCAAAGTCCCTTGCATTCTTACTGCGCATCGTTATGATACGTGCCGACTGTGCCCCTCGATCGCACAGGTCCGCCCCCGTGGTCGCCCAGGGTGTACGCAGGCCTGCGCTGGTGCCGCCGCCGTAGTCGTTGTCGTGGGCGGCATCACGCAGCGCCACCACACCCCCTCGGAAAAGTTTACGTGTCGTCGTCGTCGTCGCCAGCGTCGTCGTCGTCGTCGTCGGCATCGTCGTCGTCGTCGACGTCGTCGTCGTCGTCGTCCTCGTCGTCGTCTCGTCGTCGTCGTCGTCGTCGTCGTCGTCGTTGTCGTCGTCGTCGTCGTCGTCGTTCTTCTCGTCCTCGTCCTCGTCCTCAACCTAGTCCTTGTCCTCATCCTCGTCCTCGTCCTCGTCGTCGTCGCGCAAGTCCTCCGCGCTTCCCACTCCCTCTCTCGCCGAACTCGCCGGCTGCCGTCGTCCGCGGGCCGTGCCGAGGCCATCTGCCTGGGCATCGGCTGGACAATCCGCTACGTCGTCCCCATCCCCGACGGCGTGGAGGATGGGAGCCGCGCGGACACCCTGCAGCGGCGCGCCGCGATGTCGGGGGGATGCCCTGGCCCTGATGGCTCGTTTCCGCCCTTGTGCCGGACCGTGTGCTCCTCCTCCTTCAAGCAGTGGCGAGGCGTCCAGGCTGCCCCATAGGCCCACCAACTGATGTTCTGAGGACCTTCTGTGGTTTGCAAGAACTGCTTTTGGAACGTTGCTGGCTGAGACCGCCTTGGTTCAGCACATCATGCATATGTTCTAAGGTCTTTGGTTCTTAGAACGCTTGTGGGTTCTAAGAACATTTCTTGGTAAGCCTACGGGAATGCCGGGACGGTCGGTCCCTGCTCAACTTTTTGCCCCATTTCCCTTCGTCCTCCATCGACGGTGGAATCCATGCTCTGAGCCGCGCTGACGGGAGCGGGAGATTTCAGGCGTGGCGCTTGCGGAGCTGGTCGGTTGCGCGGTAGGAGTGGCCCTTCGCCGGAGCTACCTCCGGTGCGGGACCACGGGGGCCGCCCCAGGCAGCGGCTCGCGCATCTGGATGTGGGCCCTTCGCAGGCCCCCATAAGGCCGCGCGCCGAAGGCCACTCTTGCCTGGGGTTGCTCTTGCGCCTGCCGGGCTGAGCTTCCTGGGTGCCAGCGTCCTTGCAAGATGGGCGCTCCCTGGATCCGACCCGCGGCCCTCGCCGATGCCCGAGCCCGCCGAGCCACGGGGGCCAGGCGGAGGCCTGAAGCATCAGCCCTTTCCTGCCTGAAGGCCAGGGCAAGAACATCGGGTCGGGGGTGCCGCGGTTCTGGAGGCTTCTTGCCGCCGGAGCTCCTTCCCCAGGCCTGGCGGCATCCCGTGTGTCTCATGGGTCGACTAGATGTAAGAGTGACCTTTCGCTGGAGTGACCTATGGTGCGGGCACAGATGGGCCCCCAGATGGCCGAACGCGAAGCGGTAGTAGCGGCAAGCGCGCCTGGATTTGGCCTCCCCGCGGCGCCCCCAAAACCGCGCACCAAAGGTCACTCTTACCCAGGGTCACTCTTACGTGTAGCCGAATGGGGGTCATGGGCGCCGCGGTCCTGAAGGCTCCTTGCCGACGGAGCTCCTTCCCCAGGCCTGCCGGCACGGCTTGGTGTGCACAGAGGCCTGTTTCTGGACGCCCGAAATGGGTACGGAAAGAATGGGTACGATGCCCAACAGCAGTTCCTGCTCATTCTGAACAGGACTTGCTGCCCGCGCCGCCACGGCCCGTGTCCATTTTGAGACAGAAGGCCGCTCGCCCAACAGCGGCCGCTGTGGGTTGGGACAACATTTGTTGTTGGGCACTGTGCCCATTCTTTCCGTACCCATTTCGGGCGTCCAAAATGCTGCACGCTCGCCGCGCCCAGTCTTGGTGGTCCGGTGCATTTCCGGTGGGCAGG